ATTACTACGCATTGGATTACTACGCGTTTGATTACCACGCATTAAATTCCTACGCTTAGAATTACCACGTGGTGCATTATTACGCATTGGATTACTACGCGTAGGATTACCACACGTTGCATTACTACGCGTGGAATTACCACGCGTTGGATAACTACGCGTTATCCGAAGCTGTCGCTCTCGCGTCTGGGCGCGCGTAATCGCCGCGCTCTGATTGGTCCGCGTTTTTCCTCAACAATTCAAAAACGAAGCTTCGAACCCCATTTTTGCAAAGGGAAATCTTATTCAGAATCACGTCGGCTATTCCCCTACACTAGTTGTGACTCCCTGTATAATGTCAGATGTGATATGCGTACCCGCCTTAATCAAATGCATGCATATATAATTAGATCTGAAGTTAACATTTATCGCGTTAAAATTCGTATGTACGTGAGCATTTAACCTCATGGTTCGGCGCATCATGAGACAAAATTGCCATCGATGCAACAGAAAGTATACTCCAAACTCAGTGTCCGATGAAAAAGAGAGAGTTTGATAAATTTATGAGGCTCGTAAATGTGTGCTTCTAATACCCCTTGTCGATCGCCACCGCGATCAGGATCTCCCAGGAAAAGCAACCCAGATTATGTTAGGTTCCCGCAACAGCAGCCACCGCATCATCATCCTTATGTGTATTATCCTCCACCGTATCCTCCATTCAATCCATACAGTCCTTACCCACCTTATCCCGGAAATTTTTATTCATCCTACTGTAACGATGTAGCACAAGATTCGAAAGGATTTTCTTGGTTCAGTATATTCTTAGTCATTTTTCTGCTTTTGGGCGTCATTGGTGCTTTCTGTTATCGAACTTTATCTCGCGATACTCGACGAAGATTGCATGCTAGGCTACCCACATTGATGCAACCGACACAGGTAAATCTTTCGATTATTATACTGAGTGTTTCGGACAAATGGGGACACCTGGATACCTGCCTTATTTGTTACTGTTTGAGAGATTTTTTCTAGTTACTATTTCAAGATATATGCGTAATTGTACAAACAAATTTTTGTTTATTTTTTTTAGAAGATTTTAAGGCTATTTATGCTACATTCAATAATACAGTGTTTAGGTCATCATTTTTTAATTTTATTAAGGCTACCACCTGATAATATGAGAGTAGGATGTGATTATAGCTAGAATAGTGTTAGATATGATGAATTAGAGTCAAGATTGAAATTAGAAATTAGGGTAGAAAGTATTATATTTTTTAATTTAAAGTACCTCATGAATCGACTTAAATCTTGTACCTCAATACTTTTAACCGACTTCGAAAAAGGAGGTTACTCAATTCGATCAGTATTTTTTTTTTCCCCCAACACAGAATAGTTCTATCGACCTACGTAATAAATATATAATTTCATTTTGATCTTGAAATTTCATAACAGAAATTGCATTACCTTGACAAAATTTTCTGAGAAAATTGTCCACAATTGCATTACTTTGAAATTGTTTTTTCCTAAAAAAATTGTTCACATAACAAATAAGAGAGGTACATAAGTAATTCCATTTAGATGACTCACCTTATAGATTCGATGTTTCCTTTTACTTCAATCTTCTCCACTGACCAAAAACGTCGACAGACGAATAACATTGGTTATCGTAAAAAAAGATGTTAATGATTCGTTGAAACGGTTTTACATTTTATTTGTGTTTGATTAACAGAGTCGTAAATTATATGTCGAACATTGCCAGCAATTGATATGTTTCTATTTGCGACATGTTTATTTCGGAAGTGGTTGGTATGCGATTCGATTAGTGATACAGCATTGTTCTCTCTTCTTTCAAACCGTGTCATAAATAGAAACGGGTTACGTCATTCGTGATATTGAAAGAGAAAATACTCAGTGCAAAAAATTAAATTATTCAGTATTTTTTTCAACAAATGCAATATCTAATAAAATGAATTCTGTCAACATTTATTGAGCTACTTATTAATAACGTAAATATAAAGTTGCCAAAATGATTTTAGCACATTTTTTTTAACTCAAAAAAGGGTTATACTTGAACGCATTTAATTTTTTATTTTGGATTTATTAATTCATAATTAAGAGTATTTTAATTAATATCTACATTTTAATCGTTGAACATTTTGATCATTTTTATTTGAATTATTTTTTAATTGGGAATTGGTTTTATTTTTAATTTAAACTTGTGAAATTAAAAGTTAATTTTAATTAGTATTTTTCAGTTAATGATTGCAAAGTAGTCATTAATTAAAAGTGTTCAATTAATATGAACTCATAATGTCATAAGTTTAAATTAAAGATGAAATTATGATGAATTGAACGAATACAGGTGAATTAATAAGAATTAATTTGAATTAATTTGAAGCAAAGTTGATTTAAAAACTCTCAATTTTTAAAAGATAATATCTCTATTTTTTATTTTTAATTCGTTGTTTCAGCAAAATGATACAGTATTATTTTACGACTACTTTAAATAATTGCTCTAAAAAAATATTACACGGTATTTTCACTCGTGTCATCAATTATTAATTATAATTCACTCGTTTAATTATCAACGGAGTAATTAAAAATTCCAAAATTCTATTGGAATATCTTAAAAATTCCCATAATGTTTGCAAGCAATGTAAAACAACCGTTTCAATGATTTTCGCGCACGTATAATTTAACCTTTCATTGCATTCTATTACAAACATGTTGCATAAACATTTTATGAAATTCTATTTTATTAAACATAAACAAATAATAAATTTTATAATCAATAAAATCGTTGATAATTTCTTATTTCCAGTTACAATTTCTTATTATTTTTTTCTCAACATGTTGCAAGTTTGCAATATATATCATTTCTCTTTAAATAAATTTTGTTCAATTTTAAAACATACATATGTACATACAATATGTGTCAACTCTGATTACATTAATCTTAAAATGTGTTGTTAAGAATAATATTTTAAACAACTTTTTCCTACAATTAACCGATGATTGTCAGAGATATTCGTGAAAAATATTTTCGATGTAATTTACGAAGAGACACACTTCAACGATTTCGTTGAGGTTGAAGTCTATTGTAAAGATCAACTCCTGAGTAACTTTGCTTGTACATAATCACGTCTCGACCTTAATTTCTAAGAAGTACGCTGAAGACTCCGGTTTAATTTATATTATTACTAATAAGTACTTGTAGGCTTTCGCTAACAAACACAATATATCAGTACGACATATTTCTGTATTGTCCACAATACCAACGATTTGCTTTCCAAAGAATATTCCTAGTATACCGAAACGTACTATATTCGTATACTATGTTTCTACAGCACCACATCAATTCAGCTAAATATAACGTCTGATGATTTCACCTATGGCGTGCTATACGATAGAATATGTCACAATAAAGTACAAAATACACTTCCAGTTCATATACACTAAAAGTTCAAGTATACGATACTAATCAATGTTATATCAAGGATAAGAAAAGAAACAAATGGCATAGACTAGTAGCAGAATATGTTAAAAACATAAACTCAAGTTTCAAACATTTCTGAAACCGAGCAGACCGGTTACAGAAACAAGTAGCTCGCTGTTTTTGACAACATATTTCAAGTTCAATGTAATCAGGTCTGAAACCAGTAATTTGCATATTTATTAGTACAAAAATCGTGCAATGAAAGGTTAAACGATCACGTTTCATACGATTGTAATAAACAGAGGGTACAAACATTTGTCACATCCAGGATTATAATCGCGGGGACAGAGTCCTTTAAACCCATAACCTTCGCAAGCGATTTCACGACCGAGCGGCCCCTAAAGATGATCTTTCTGAACCTGTAGACCACCAGGAGAAAAAGAGACGCGAATCAAAATTATCCCGCTGAATTTATTCTCTATTCCGATGCAAGTGCCGCGCAAGATAAAGATTATAACGTGTTCTGCGAGCGATGCGACGATTATCGTTTCGTGTCGGATAACGGGCCGAAACGTGGAAATTATTCGTTATGCGAACGGGACGACAGTAGAAACGAAGGCATCGTCGAGATCTCAGATAACAAAGTCAGTGTTGCCACCGATGTATCTGGTACGGTAATGAACGAAGCTACTCGATCGACGGCCACTTAGCATAATTTCTTATCACGCATACAAATCCGTTTCGATGAACTCCTATTTACGCATTCAAAGCATTGCAAATTTAAAACGAGGAATTAATTATGGTTACTCACGAAAGAAATCGTACGATTACGAATCGCTGAATGAATTACGTAACGAGGAGGTAACTATTATTAAGGCGCAAAAGTTTTACACGGCGATGGGCAAATTTAGTGACTCATGAAGGTGCATTGCATGGAGTTACAGAAATACATGTAGCATTCGAATTCCAAATTTTTAGAAATTTAAAATGTGTAAACATCTAAAAACTTGTTGATTTAGAAATTGGAAGTTGGAAATTTGAAAATGCAGAAATATAGAAATTTTCAAATTTTAAACTTTACGTATAGCTATTTAAAAATGTGATAATTTGAAAACGTAGCAATTTTTGAATTTTTAAATTTAAAAATATAGAAGTTACAAATTTTTTAATTTGACAATTTAGACACTTAATAACTTGATATTTAAGAATTCAGAAATATATTAAATTGTTCAATTTACCATTTCAAACATCTAAAAATATAAAAGTTTTAAATTTTCGATGTTTCAAGTTTTCAGAAATTTAATCCTAATTTTTAAATTCTGAAATTTCTATATGTGCAAGTTAAAACTTTGAATTACCTAACAATGACCGTGCATGTACGAATATAATTGCCCATCTCTGTTTTAACATAAATTGTACGCTTTAGAGTTATATTTATTACAGGATTATTCTCATTTGTTAACGAAGATGGATCCTCATAATTGAGTGTATAACAATCGGATCGTCGATTTTCGTGTGATATGAACCGCAAGAGTTTCATTAATCATGCATGATTCAACGGCTTATTTCTCTTCCTGAAATTTAAAGAATAATTTTTTCTGACGTATTCGTTTTCATAACGTGACAAAGTATATGGTTTGTAAGAGATTCTAATATAAAAATAAAATGTTAACTTTCAAAAATAGTTTCAATTATTAAAAATATTTAAATCAATATGAAAATTATTTGTATTTAATAAAATACTGAAATTAATTTATTAAAGTCAACATGTAAACATAGTACACACGGTATATTCATTGAAAAGAAACAAATGCAAACGCATGTCAGTAAAAATACGGTCATGTGGGAGTGAATCAAATTAACTAGTCTTAAAATCAATTTTGAGGAGCAAAATTATTCACGTACATATGTAAAACATTCAAAATTAATAATTTTAGTGAAAACAACACATTGATTGTAAAGTATAAAGTATGACATGTAGGAAAGTGAAAAGTGGTTTCATTGGATGGACAGGTTGGCCATTTCTTAATTTCTTGATCGTTCTTGGTGTAATTGGTTATCTTGGTTGCGTTATATACCAGAAATGGGAACCAGCTGCAGTGTCTAGTAGTGCTCCAGCACCAGACACTGGACACTCTGACACTGGCGGACGTACTAGAAGTGGACGTCGTTATATTGGACGTACTCATACCGCTGCCGATCAATGATCGTGAACTAATTTTGGAACGAGAACGATATAAAATATTTTACTGTTAAAGTCAGGTATTTAATATAATCCTCTTTAACCACAATTAAAATCACGTATCTGATAAATATAAAAATTATAACTTCTCCGTTTCACTTTTTTATAACCTCAAATAAAATACACAAATATTACGGATTAAAAAATGTCATTGTCGTGCAAAGTATTTTATTCGTTTAAAATATGTAACGTTTTATTACTTTGTTGGAAGTAAATACAAGTTGATAGGACATATACATCCCTTACAGAATGTTAATATGTTTGGTTGCGACATAAATTGCGCAATGTAAATTGATCAGGGGCGTAGGTATATTATCGCTGAACATTTATCAAACTACAAGTATTATGTGATTCATTAGTAATAATTACGATACATACATTATTCATCGAGGAAGTACTGTTGTGTAATTTTATAATTCGAATTTGATACACTATGTAAAACGTATTCTATAATTTTTTACTTTCAACCTTATCTTTTCTTAACAATGTAAAAGAACTCCTAAACCCAACGTTCTATAAATTTCCGAATCTCCAAATTTTCAAATTCCTATATTCTTCTGTAAATTCTCAAGTTCCAAATTTTTAAATTTTAAATCAGATTTTCAATTTCTCAAATTCCTAAACTCAAAATTTTCAGTTTTCTAATTTTCTTTAAAACCTATATCAATTTAAATATTTGGTAATTAAAAAGAAACAGGTAATGGGGTCTTTCCCCTAGGTGTTGATATTCCTTAGAGGCGCCTACGGTACTCGCGAAGTGTTTGAAAGTATGTGCGTAGGGGTAGCTGAAACTGTGTTCGATATAACGTGAATACGCGCAATATACGTATGTGATTTAACGGAGTTAGTCGATACAGAGTATGGAGTACACAAATAGCCTCTCGGCTACTCCCAGCTTACAGTGGGCGATTGAGACGAACGATTATATTCGAAGTACGCTCAAAGAAACGGATGTGCGCGTAGTGTTGTGGTTCTCTCTGTGCATCTTAGATTATCCGCACGTTTATTGTTGGAATTCACCGTTCGTACGTGGACGCACTAAATTTCGAGGTTAGGTTAGTGACAGAGTGCTGCGGAGGAGGATGGATAGACAACCGGCATGCCTGCACGTTGTTTTAACGGAATAATCCGCTGTATCGGATTAGTCAAAGAGGATGACGAGTCTACTTGACACAGGCGTAACGTGAGAGATCACGATTCAGAATGGAATCAAATAGTTACGATGAACAGACAGATCCAAGTTCGATCGAACGTTACGATCGCGACAATCGTTTAACTTCCGGAGAGGGCCCGTCTCCTGGACCTGGGGCTGGCCTTGAATATGATTTATGGGAGGGACAATTTCAATTTGTTGGACAACCGTTTTCACGCGGTAGTCGACTACCTCGTCGCCGTGATCCTCGGCTTACTGAACAAGTAAGACAGTTCCTAGCACGTTAGGATCGTTAAACTGTACGAGTGATTCTTTTTCGTTTTATTATAGATAACTTGACTTTAGTTACAATTCAGTGTAAATATTGTGTGTAAAATGTAAAAATAACTAACGACGAGTACAGATTTGTATAAAATATAAATATAAATCCCTATTATATGAAGTATATCGTATACAAAACTAATATTATTCGTAATTCACTGTGTGATACCGGAAACGCTTATCACTGCCCTAAGTGATTACTAAGGATTGATATATTGGCTTATTTGATAACAAAAAAATGGATAATTATAATATAGGAAAAAGTAAAAAATAAAAATTTTATTTTGTTTATATTTTATTATGAGGAAAGAAATATTGTCATTTAACAAAGTATAGTCTGTTGACTACTAATTAGTATAATTCTATAAAAAGTAATTTAAATTATAATTAACATATCACATGTTTCAATTTAAAAAGGCTGAATTTTAAATTTATTCTATCTTAGAATATTAAATCAAGAAAATTTAATTAACAGTACATAAAAAATAGTCACTTTGTTAGATTTTTCAATTTTTTAAACGGGATTTAATACAGTGTTTATTACATATAAGCATAAGTTTTATGGCTAACTATATTTGAATTACACATGTTTTTGCGTTTGGTATTCACCGTTGGAAGCCGGGGTGATCATTGAACATATGGTATGATCTAATTATAGCCTTCTAGAAAATGTATTGGGAATAAAATGAGGTTATTTGAAATTTATATTTTACGAGCATAATACCGGTTACTAGTAACTTTAATTTTACTTCAAGGTTTATACTATGAATATAAACACAAGATTTGTACAGAAATGTAAGAATAATACAACTGCACATTTTGTACTTGAGAGTCACTGACTTACAACACATAGAATGTAAAGTAAGCCGTGCGCGGGTTTTTAAACGGAAACCATCACTGATGCTTGCGCTAATACATTTCGTATTTTGTTGTCAGGATTTATAAATAATGTTTGTTCAGTGTTAAAATAAAAATAAACAGTCATCACAACATGTTTTCAAAAAATTATAAATAAATATTTAAAAGCTGTGTTATGTATTTTTAGGTTCAAATGATCCAGGAACAAATGCATGCCTTAGTAGACACTCAGTCGGTCGGGGAGGAGCGGTATGCTAGGGCAAAACAGGAAAACGCTACGTTGCAGGCAAGAATATTAATGTTGGAAGAAGCTGCCAAAGATGCTGAAGCTAGGGCTGAAGAGAGACTTCAGGTAATTCTATTAAATCTTTTACACTTTTATATTTATGTATTCTTAAAATAAAAATTTATTGATTCATTTGTTAATGTACAATGATAGATGAATTCAAAATGTGAAAAATTCAAGCTGTGATAAATATAAATTTTACAATATTATATTAAAATATTATTGTAGTAAAGGAACAAAATATATTTTTGTTAGAAATGATTCCTTTCCATATTTTGTTTATTTGCAAATGATTATTTCTATATATTTAATATTAATATTCCAGGCAGAACAACGAAGGCATAGAGAATGGGCAAGTCGTTTGGAACGTGAACGACAGTTACAGTTAGAAAATTATGCCATTAAATTACAAGCAATAGAATTAGAAGGATCTAGTTTAAGAGATGAAATAGGAAGGTTACGAGAACAAGTCGAAAAACTGAAAACAGAGAAGAATCGATTAGAAAATGATCTTGAAGAAGCTAGAAGAGAAGTAGATACTTTACGTGAAAGTGAACGTCAAGCAATAAGTCGAGCTAATGAAGCTCACTATCAGCTTGAAGTTGCTAGAGAAGAACTTTCAATAAAAATTGAAGATCAGCAAAGGATAGAAGAATTAGTGCAACAGGTTGCACAACTTCGAGCTCGTAATAAAAGTAAGTTTTTAGTTAAGATAATTAATTAAAATAATTTCTAAGAAAACTATTTAAAATATTATTTTTATTCTTTAAGGTCTTGAAGAAGCACGGGATGAACTACAAGCTGCAGCGGCTCTGCAGGCAGGCCATGAACTATTAATGTTAAATCCTTGTAATAATACTGCTGAAAAAGGACCTAGTCTCGCTGTAGAATTATTAGCTGGCATGAATCAAGACCAAGTACGTTATTCTTATTCTTATTATAACAAATCGAATTCTGAATCTGTTGGAATAGAAATTATTTTGTATTTGACACTTTCTTTATTATTTGAATTTTACTGTAGATGGATGGACAAATTCCTGGAGATAATGGTGAACCTTGTAGTATATCTGAAGTATGTTTTTGTATTATAAATACAAACTACGTGATTTGTATTATTTTTTACATTATTATTTTCTTTATTGCAGATGAGACAAGCTTTAAAGGAACAACAAGAGGTTAATACACATTTAAGGGCGTACATCGAAGGAATTTTATTAAACGCGGTTGAAAACTATCCTCAGTTGTTAGAAGTGAAACAAACTCATTGAACTGTTACGTGAATAGCTAACTATTGAATTTAATGTTAATTGTTTAAGGCAGTTGTACATTACACTTCTTTGTCGGAGCTCTTACTTATAGGCTAATATAAGCAGTTTTGTCATAACTGTATGGAAATATTAGGAAAGCAATTTCCGTCCAGCCGAACTTAAAATTTTAGTAAATTATTATGGTCGTTAAATTAAAAATTTTCACTGCCATTGTGATTACTTTAATTGTACAATGTTTTTACTAAAGGCAGTGAACATACTAAAACGTTATAAGAAAGAAATAGTGCATGAAAATAAAATAAAAAACCATTAAAAGTTTTGTATTATCCGAGTACTGAAACTTGGAGCCTTGTAATGTTGCCTTTATAGAAATGTTATAAAACTTTTTTAAAAACTCGTAGACGATTTATAATATTTTCTAAATTTTTTAAATTCGTATTTAAAAATCATAGTTAATTAAAAATTGTAAATTTAAATAAAATTAATCTTATTTTATACCTTTCCAAAGAAAAAATAAAGAATTGTCTGCAACGTAACTTTTGCGGTTATTTCAGATATAAATACGAGAAATTATTAAATACATTAATTTCACCCCTTGTACAAACAGATAATAAAAAAAGTAAATATAGAAATACATTTAACATATGTACATATATTAGTAATTAATTAAAAAGTTGAAAGCAATTTGGAAGAATTATGTACTTCAAAGTTCATATTTTCGCTCGTGTTGTCTAAAAAATAGTGCCATCTAGCAATCAAGCATGAACCTATCGAAACAAAAAGTTGCATTCTTTATCGTGCTCGTAGAATAATTTGCAAGCGTCGACGAAACATAAAAATGCCTTATTTTAAACGTTAAATGTGGCCGCTTTAATATAATCCTTAAAATCAACTTCTTGAAACTTATCGAGCGAGCGAGCCGAAGGCAAGCGAATATACTTGACTTTGCAACTTCTTTGTCCGCGTTTTTCTTTAGCACCACTCAACCAATTCTCGTCAAATTTTGCATGCACATGCGTATGTACATCCAGATAAATATAAAAAAAAAAAATTTTAATCGGACTTGCCACAAACGAATAATCACCGAAAAAACTGATCCTAAAAAGTGAGGGTCCGAACACGCATATAAGGAAAATAAAAAAATGAATATTTCGGCACTTTGACGACGTAATATGGTTCCTGAGGCATTTAGAAACAAATTTCTATTAGGGTTTGATGCGTTTTGATGCCTAATAAAGCCAGAAAATCAATTTTTGTCGAATTCGGGCCAAAACGGTACAGGTGGCGCCATCTAGCGGCGATCGGCGGAACTACGAAAAACTAAAATTTCGATTTTCTCGAAAACTAACGAATTTTAAGTACTTCTGAGGGTCAGAAATCAATCTATAACCTCCCTGGAACCTGTATGATGCCACAAGAACTTCCTAAAAGCGCTAGGAAAGAAAATAGAAAAATAGTCCAAAACATGGACTAAAAAATTGGCGTCCATCTAGCGGTGAAAGTTGGAACTACAAAAACATAAAAATGCGATTTTCTCGAAAATTAGCGAACTTTGAGTACTTCCGAGGCTCAGAAAGTGGTATGTGATCGCATTAGAAGCAAAATAATGCAACAAAAGTTTCCTAAAGGCTTTAATAAAGAAAATAAAAAAAATGTCATTTTATGGAGAAAATTTGTGGCGCCATCTAGCGGCGAGACTGCGAACTAAACTGAAAAATCGTATGTCCGAACACGCGTTAAGGAAAAATATAAAAAGTAATATTTCGCAAATTTGACGATGTAGTATGCCTCTTTACATTTTTAAAGTAATTTTGGTTGAATAAGTTATTCATTTTTTTGTCTATTCAGCCCAGAAAATCAATTTTTATTTGACCCCTTAACGCGTGTTCGGACATACGTTTTTTCAGTTTAGTTCGCAGT